CATTTATTTTGGCTGAAATGATGCAATTCAGTTCTACATGGAAGAGACTAAAATTGTCTCAGTTGCCTTTATATGTAACAGGACATTTTGATGAGAGGATGATTAATGTGTGTGAAGAAAAAGTGTATGTTGCTTAAATGTGCCAGATACCACACATGAATGTTACAATGTAATATATGTGTGTGTTATTACCTGAAAGCCAAAACTTTGTAGATTGGGGTCTCAGAATTCCCCCAAGTTGGCTTTGGCTGGGAAAGTGCCATTGTAGCTCAAAAAAGGGGAATCAATGTAACTGTGTCTTTTACTTGATACCCAAAATGTGTTCTGCCTCTGTGTTAATGAAGAGGAGTATTAGGCTTTTTTTGAAAAGCATATTGATAATTTTTATGGAAATACTAAATATTTGTCTTATACTAGTTACACTGTTTGTTTATACCTGTTATACTATTTATTTATTTCTACATTTATTATACCATTATACATTATACCTGTAGATAACACTATAGTTCAAGGCTTAAAAAAAAAAAGCGAGAGAAAGAAAAACCCATGGTATTCTTGAATCAATCTATACAGTGGGTGCCTTTGGGGGAAGTACAAGTTTTTTTGCATTCAAGGAGCAGCTGTACAAAATCATGCAAAAGAAATCCATGGAAAGTTACTAAATGTATAGAAACCATGGCTGGCTGATTAAGTCTCTGAGCTGCTGGTGGTTTGAGGTTCAAAGAGTATTTCAGGAGCAGCATCATACGTGCTTACCATGCTTCTATATGTTCCCCTGCTTCTGCTTTTTGCAATAGTTAGTCCCTCAGTCTTAGCCAGTACAACTGCTCTGAAGGGCAGTATTTGGTTGTGATGCTTCGGTTTTGCCACACGGGTTACTGCAATATAGTGGCAGCTTCTGTTAGCAGTTAAGACATGAAAATACTGGCTTTTGTTTACATGACAGCTCTGCCTGATCCAAACCAAGTGGCAAAATTCGTGTTAAATTTCATTGTTATATTTTCATGGGTGGCGTCTGTGTAGCACAGATCTTTAGGTGAGAAGATAAACAGTTGTAATGCCTTTTCTGTCCCTATCATTTTATAAGCGGTAGCTTGTCCTTCAGTGTGTCCTTGTTCGTTCTGCACTACAGTGACCCATAGGGTAGGGAATTTTTCCTCGGTAGGAAGTGGTTGGATTTGGTATTGCTGGCTCTGATGGGCAGTGTGCTTGTGACGGAGGACCGTAAGAGCTTCATTCGGGATGCACTGAAGGAACTTGCCTATCAGGTCATTGGCCAAGCACCTCTCATCTTTGAAACTCTTCTGGATCGTAACAAGAATGCTATTAGAGGAAAGATTGTGGATATCTTTCACCATCTCAGTTCACCATCAAATGGATTTTCCATTGCTTGGAATTGGTATTAGGCTCTGCACTGGCAAAGGCTAATGTAGTTGCAGAGTGAATTTATCTTAGTAACTAATCCTTGCCACCTCCCTGTGAGGTGATTTGCTAAGTATTTGACAGATGGGGAAGCACGGGAGGGAGAGATGGCTTCAGAGCTGGGATTAGAGCGCTGATGTCCCAGGCTTCTGGTCCTATGCTCTGCACAACCACGAGGCCAGCCTTTCCTGCCCATCTCCTGTTACTCTCCTGGGGCAAATTCCTATAGAACGTTATTAATAAAGACAACAGGGGAATAATCCTATTGTCCTAGTCAGGAGTGAAATTCATCTTTTATTTCTGCGGTATTGTATGCAATTTAGTGCTAACGGTCAGGAGACCTTAAATAACCACATCAAACAGCCGGTTCGGTGCCAGCCTTCCTTCTTATTTAGCTTCGTCTAAACTGACACCAAACTTTGAGACATTCCTCTCCTCCCACAGTGGAGAGCTGCTGGGATTTTTTTTTTATACCACACATGGTTTCCCTCCTACATTTTCCTCCCATGTCAGATATTCATACCCCCTTTAATAACCAGCAGGGGGATCATTACATTGAGCTACTGCCAAATGCATAATGACTGCTGCCTTTGCCTTACACAGTCACTGCACTACTGATACCCAATTCAGCATTGTAAAGTGCTTAGGGCTACCTTGGGGATGTGCTATATTAAACCCAACTATTCTAAATCCTATTTAATACAAAGAGATTGGTGGTGGGGGAGGGGGGGGAGGGAGATTTCGAATTGTTGTTAGTCACCTATTTTCAACAAGTAAAAATACCTGGTCATTTAGAGCCCAATTCTGTCACTCTTGGGTCATAAATAGTCCCACTGATTTTAGTAGGGGTGCATGAAGGCGAGCACTCTGCTTACCACTGGGGGAGGCAGAATCGGGTCCTATAGAAGCTGCAGCTGAGACGGTAAGCTTGCAAGGAGCTGATGGGGGTGAGTGCGCCCATTTCTGAATTCCACTTACAAATGTTTTACAGTGAAAACAGGAAAGCGGAAACATGCTTCACATCTGAACTAAAAATAAAGGTACTCTTAAACTTGTAAAAGACAACACTTTTATTTGAATGATATGACAGAGCTGCCACAGGAGTGTTACCTGCTATAAAGAAAGCTTAAGAATTATTACCTTTATTAGACCAGTGACACTGAGCTTTAGCCATACATTTCTAACTTCTGTCCCTCTACAGAGACAATTTTCTTTTCTTAAATAAACTGTCATGCTAGTGTTAATATATTGTTGGCTCCCTCATACTCTGAGAATACTGCTGATATAAAACATGTATATGTTAGATTGGTAATAGTATCTTTAGTGTAGCTGACTAGAACAAATGTGTTTCCCTCATGGCTGTGCTAATGTGATAAAGGAAAATTGGCTGTTCATCAGCTTTTGGCTGGGTAAAGACAGTAGAGATGGAACCACATTCTTTTTTATGCATTAATACCACTGAGAACTTTTCACTAGTTATATTTCATGTGCGGGCATGTTGTGCAAAGATGTTGTAAAACATGAGATAATGCTACAAATAACAAAGTAGAAAAGCCTGTATCTTTTATGATGATAACAGTCAAACACCAAATGACAGTAACAGGCTGTAAAAAATGTGATGCAGAAAAAAAATGCAATGTAACCACCATATACACATATACTTAGGCTCTTGCAAATAGGGCATCAGATGTTATAGAGGGCTTTGAATTAAAATTAAATAAAAAACTGTTGTATTTAGGTCATCGATGTGTCAACACAAAAGATAATTTAAAATGGAGAGATGTATTTTGAGTGGTGAAACTCATATGCAATAAGTTTTTGAACAAATCTCAAGGCTTAGTAATTATGATAATAGCCTTCAAATTTCCATCAGTGGAAGGGCAATAAATTTTCCTGTCTAAATTTGGGAAATATTGACTGAATCTGGAAATGGCAATAAAGCTCAGCATGCATCTGTATGTTTGAAAGTGCAGTTTAAGGAGAAAAATTCATCTGTATGATTTTGTGTGAAGCCTAAATAAAAAAAAAATCCAAACAAAAATCTCCATCTCATTTCATATTTTCTTTCTTAAAATACTGATAGAGTCATGTTGCCTGGGGCACTGATGCTGATCATCTGAGCTCAGATTTATAGATAATTGTGTCTGTTTATCTTGGTCTGAAATTTGAAAGACTTTATTGGTGGAATAGCATTGTGAGTGCTTATATTGTGGTTTTCAAACTGATGTTTTTTCAGGTTCTGGCTTTCCTCTTGGCAACAAATTATTCTGGCTTGTAAACCTTCTGTTTGTCCTCACATATATATTGTTCTTATGGAAGCAATTATTTGAGGTTTATTTTGTTTTGATTAGCATGGATATCAAGACAGGCTAAAGCACTCTAGTTTTATTTGGCCTCTGTGGACATGATTCACCAGGCATCCATATCTGCAAAATGGAAATAACACTCTGTAAATTGGCAACAACAAAACGATGTTTCAAAATTTGAAGGCTACCAAGCTCTCATGTGAAATAAGCCTTATGCAAGCTAAATATTGCTAAAAATCAAGTAATTTCAGTTTTGCAAATAAATCACTTTCTGAAATAAATAAGATTAAGTTTATTCCATAAACAATTCAACAGAGTTCAAAATTTTTGAGTAAGTTGAACTTAGTTTCTGTAATTAACTTACTTAATGGGAAGCTGACTATAGCCACGATGCCTCCAGTTTTCATTTCGTATGTGCCTGTAGTTTTTAAATGAGTATTGAATTTCATAAGATATAAGGCTGAAAGGCACTCCCATATTATTACACTTTTCTAATTTTATGTAACCTAAACATGAGGATTTTTAATGCAAAAAAGTACTTTGTAAAAGCTCAGCATCTTGTGACTTTGTGGAGCTGGGAGAATGCCATAAAGTATTTCTATGAACTTAGCTCAAATTTAAAATGAATTGGCAGGGAAGGGAACACTTGCAGAAAACAGTACCCCGGGGTGCTGGCTGAGTGCATATTCCTGGCTAAGGGTTCCCTTGATGTAAGGGAATTACCCACTGGGTGTAAAGCAGATGTAGCCGGTTCCTATACCGTTCCCTTCAGCCCTTGTAGAAAGAAACATGCTGGGGTTCGGGAGGCACTTTGGAGGGGTGTTACAGGCCTGCCTGAAACGTGCTGCATCTGGTTATCCTGGGTATGGTAGATAGCCCCGCGGGGCCTGTATGAGCTGATGTGTATGAGAAGAGTCTGACAGCTGTAACATGTGCCCATGGCCTGAAGTGGTGAAGTAGCTGTAACCAGCCTCGTACCTTGTGAAACAGACCCTTCTTCTCTTCCTCTCTTCCCCCTCCCCACCAGATCACTGTACCATAGATTCTTCTTTGATTTAACCACTGTAGAAATGTTATACTCTGTGCACCTGAGTGATGATCTTATTAACTGGACTGCTAATGGATGGACGGAAAAGAGGTATCTACTTTCAATAGGCACCAAAAATAAAGACACGCAGCAAGCAGGTCGAAGTAATGTTAACGGTTAATCAGTGGTAGACGCAACATATCGGTGATTGCATAATGAAGCATGTGTTTGCATTGATTCTATAGGTGCATCACAGCAGAATTAGTTTCTTCTTCAATGGCTGGGAAGATGACAACACACCTTTTGATTCAAGGATTCTTGTGGGAACAGTTGCAGATAGTGATGCTGATGGTACACTGAAAATTGGACAAAGTTTCACAGGTAAATCTTGTAGTATTTTAGTGGAATGACCTGGAATATTGAAATAAGATGCACACAATGTGGTTAAAAAAACTTGTGTGAGTCATTTTAAGTTATCTGTATGCTGAGAAGTAATACCTTCCTGCAGGAGAAAATTCCTATTGTACAATTAGCTTTCTCGAAAGATTGGCTGAAAGATAGAAGTTTGGTAGGTGATCCTGTAGGTTCATAATTTATTCTATGTGTTACTGCATATAGGTAGGTTTTCCTGCATTCTCCATAACGTAGGTCTGTAAAGTGACACATTCCATTAATTTACGATCATAGTTTTTCTGTGTAAATATATGAAACTATTTCAGAATGGGATTGTGCATGGCCACTAGACTACACTCCTCTCCAGAGTCAGGAATAGAGCTGAAGATTTCTGGCTGTTCATGTTCTTCAGTTCTATCAATACTCATGTAAACCACTAGCAGAACGAGAACCCCTCAGCCCCTCGTAATGCCTGATAGTGTTATTCTTCATCTACATCTAGAATTTTATATGTACTACAGCATGATGTGATTGTTGCAGAACAGCTGGGGGATGTTTTGTTGCTCTCCACAAATTCTTGGCTCTGCAGATGTAAGAACACTGACTATTGCTTTTCAGGAACATGCAGAATTTGAAGCTACCTCCTAAATATAACTATGTCACTTAAACAACTTTATTGTGCTCTTGAGCAAGAAAGTCATTCTGTGCCCCGTTTCTTAAAGCTTGTATTTGGAAATGTGTTTTGTTGTGATTTTGATTCTGAATACTGGATAACTAGTAAATGTATAAAAGAAAGGAATATTTTTAAATGCTTTTTATCTTTATTGTATAAATTGATAGGTACAGTTGTACCTACTGTATCTCTTCTCTAATTAGAGGTGGCACATGGACTGGCTCATTACTTCTGTCTAATGAGCCGATCCTTGTGCCACCTCTCTAATCAGAAAAGAGATAGGTACAAAATGTTCTTATAAAGTTATTATAAATCATTCTTTTTTACCAAAAAAATTAAGTCACTGCCCTCTATAGTTTTGTCCAGGTCCAAGATGGTTTTATTCAGGAGGGGTAATTGTGCAAGAGAGATCTCCGAGTACTGAACTAAAGGTGCTATCATGCAGTGCAAAGCTGCCTTCTGCTCAATAGATTACTTATTTATAGTATATTTTCTTAGGTTTAGAGCAATTTGTTGGAAGAATGCAAGATTTTCGGTTTTACCCAGTGGCACTTACAAACAGGTAAAGAACCTTTTTTTTTGTTTTTTAAAAAAAAAGTGTGGTAAGAAGAAAGAACAGATAACAATATGCTTATTTCCCAAAGTATAGTGCTTTTCTGATGTCTCCTTTAGATGATTGCTTATGATCATGTAGTTTACTGAACCTCATTTCAAAGATGACTTTTAATCTAAGAAATCTTTAATTAAAATAAATTCAACAACTTAATGTGTTTTGCTTTTGAACTGTTGCTTAAATATAGCTAGTTTATGTAGTAGTATATGTAGTATATATGTAGTGAAACTCAATACTCAAAAATGAACGTGTGCTTTCCTTGTTATTGTTGTCCCTGTTACAACCTGACTTAGTAAGCGTTCTTGCAGAGAGTAGATCCAGTTGCTAGATTTCAATGCTTATAAACTATTAAGATGTTATCAACTCATTATAATTCTGACATAATAGTGTGTGCTGGTAAGCTTAGTCCTGCTGGATGAGACTTGCCAAGCTTTCCCAGATCTCCATGTAAACTGTGGGGCGAGGAGGGGAGCATAGCGGGCCAATCCAGTTTAGACCACTTTAATGCTAGTGATCCAAGTGAAGAGGACAGGCACTCCAACTGGTCAACATCCGGGCTTCGTGGCTGTGAGCTTGGCTCCTGGGCTTAGCAGCTCCTTTCCTCTGGTTTCAGCTTCCCCATGGAATCAGATGTCCATGTTGGGTATTCTTGATGCTTGCCCTACTCTCCCCGCCCCCCCCCGCCCCAAGGTGCTATTGTCTTAACTGTTCATTGTCACCATAAGCTGCCAATGACTTTGCTAGCTCAGCCCACATAGCCCTGGGCAATTGCTTTGACTTCCTCCATCCCTGAGGCCAAATTACGGTTGCCACTGCAATTTCTGTTGCCCTCCAGCCTCCCTTCCTAGCGCATTATAAAGAAATGTTACCTTTGTTATCCAGCTCATGCTGGATTAATCTAGTCAATTCAAGCTGGCCAGAAGTAGTCAGGTCCTATTTGTCTGGGTGGTGCTTGTAGGTAGGCTACACGCAATGACACTTGTGACTGCAGACCTTAAGGCTACTTAATGATAGTCTTTCAATAAGAGGTAGAGCAGTTTCCTAGGACCTCAGCTGTCTGCAGGACATTACGATGAACTGAGCTCCTATGAATTTGAAGTATTAATATGAATCTGAATTCCAAGTTATATAAAAATCCTGTTGGTTGTATCCTTTCAAAGCAATGCTTGTCAAATCCTTTGAACTACAGTTTAAGTCAGTGAAATGAATAAAGTTTAAAAATTGAAAGATAAGGTATTTTACGAGGTGTTGCGGCCTACTGATGTCTTTGTAGATGTAGTTTTATATCCACAAATGACTTGGTCCAAAATGTTTGTCTGGGATAAACTGCAAAGGAAAGTCTTGTCTGCATATCAATTAATTTAAGTCTATGGCTATCTAAAAGGTCCTGTAACTTTGGGTTCTGTGGAATTTGTAGTGGCAACTAGCAAATATTTATTTGCTTAATAAGTATACAAATATTATGTTCTTACTGATAAAGTATCTTCTAGGCTCACAAAATCCTTTTACACCAGAGATGAGCAGATAAAGGTTTAGGTAACCTGCCCGTGTTGGTCATATATCTATCTGCTTGCCTACCTACCTACCTATGTATCTATTTCAGTTGCTGATGTCAGAGGGAACTAAAGTGACTCAATGGCTTTGACATGGGCTGTAAAAAGCAACTAGAGTGATCACAGACTGGGGCAGCTAAAAAAGTGGGAATTTGTATTAAAGTTAGTTAAAAGTGAAAATATTTCTATCGAGGTTTTCTAAGGTGCAATGTGATATTGCTCAAGCTGGTCTTTTTGGAGGATTTGAATGCAAATATTCAACTCATCTGTAGTTACAGGCAATATGCCACTGCTATGGTACGCTTAAGAACAGTGTCCAGATCACTGATTGGAGTTGGATATGATGCCGTAATAAAATGTTAAGAGTTCTTCTCCTTGCATCTAGGGCTGGATTCATCCTACCTAGCTTTAGACACCCCAACAAGGAGCTCATTTCCGTTGGCTCCGTATATGTCTGTGGAGCAATGAAGGCAACTCCAGAATGCTTCTTCACAGACACCTTCTGAAGGTGCCTGCTGCTTACCATTGATTATGTAGGGACCCTGGGTGGCCTGATTCCTAGCTGATTGCCCCATTTCTGTGAGATGAAACCAGGCCTTTAGGGCTTCTACTATAATCTAAGCTGAATTTTGTTTAATCTGTCAGCCTAGAGGCACAAAGTGGCACTTGTCCTTTTTTATCATGTATGTAATTACATTTTTATATGCTGTGACAGAGATATTTTGGAAGTATTCTCTGGAAAATTTCCTCATCTGCATACCCAGTCTGAGTGCCGCTGTCCTGGAAGTCATCCCCGGGTACATCCGTTGATACAGAGGTACTGCATCCCTAATGGTGCAGATGATACCACTAACGACAGAGTGCTGAGGTTGGATGCAGAAGCTCATCCTCTGTATTACATCAATGATGATGATATTGGGACCACCTGGATTTCATCTGTGTTTGCTAATACTGCAGGTCTGGATCGTGGTGTTTCTATCACCATAGATTTACAAAATGGACAGTATCAGGTAATGAGAAGATTACATTTGCTATATAAATCAAAACTAGGAGAAAATTTTTGTAGACATTTCGTTACAATTTTGAGAAAATTCAAACCTTTATGCTTTAAGACGTTATAGGGGACCAGGCAGAATACTTCCTTTATCAGCATGAAACAATGCAAGAGGCAACAGAATGCATTATGGTTCTTGTAATTCTCTTTTGATGTGCCTTGGCCATTGTAACAAGCAGTACTCTAGAACAGGTATACCAGAGTAGATATCCTGTGTGAAGACACCAATATTTATAAATTGGTTGCTCCCTTTTAACTCCACTTCTGTAAATTTCAACTTCAATTTTAATTTCTATTAAAACTTGAGGTGCTTGTTTTATACCTTCTGGTAGAAAGCTGACTGCAATCAAATGGAATTTAACATGTCTGCGGGATGCTGACATACCAGAGGGGATTTCAGTTTTGTACATGTTCTGGAGATGGTAGTTTAGCCTCCTGAGGAATGTGGAAGGAGAATACGATAAGCAGGCAAGGTTACTGAAGAGGCCAAATTGCACCTAACACTTCACTATGCTGTGAAGAGTGTTAGGATTTCTTGGAAGGAGGGACATATCAGTAGTGGGGCTACATTCACAATAGGAGCTCCACCAAATTTCTGTGTATTCTTGCTAACTTACCTTTTTTGCTTTTTTGTCATTAATGCAGAGAAGGGGAAGAATGTGACGACAGGTTTTGGCTGCATAAGTAAGAATTAGTCCTTTAGTTAAAAGTAAAGTTCTAAGACTTGGCTTATTTGACACATACACATTTCTGCATAAGCGGTATGCTGGTTGAAGTGCTCTTTAATGCAACACAGGGTATTTGATGAGATTCCAAGCTAAAAATAGGGAGATTCCTTAAAAAAAAAAAAAAAAAATTACGTGTTATCAGACAACTCATCAAATATTTGGCAACATAAAGCTATGCCCTTCATTTTTGCCAAAATTATATTACTGTAACAGATCATGGACTTGACTTTGTAGTGCATTTTCAAATAGTCTTCAAGAAAAAGTGGAGTTTGATGCAACGGTTCAGTTTTTGTGTAATAATGTCTGAGAGATCAAAGAGCTTGTTTAACAAAAAAGGTTATCTTTGTTTTTGATTGGGAATATCTGGACTGAAATACTGGTTCTTTTCTATCTGTGAGTGGTAAAGCAGACTATATTGTCACATTGGAAAAAAAAAGTTTATATTCTCATTGTGTTACAACTTTACAACTTAGCCATCAATACAAGTTTATAAATTTGTTATCTTCTTGTAGGTATTCTATATTATACTGCAGTTCTTTAGCCCACACCCTGAAGCAATAAGAATTGAAAGGAAAAAAAGAGACGAACTAAACTGGGAAGACTGGCAGTATTTTGCTAAAAATTGCAGTATTTTTGGAATGGATAACAATGGATCGCTGGAAAAACCAGACTCTGTCAACTGTCTCCAGCTTCCTAGGTACGAGTGGGTATTATCTGCATAATACAGATGCTTTGAACAGGTAACATCCTGACAGAATTCATTTCTATGTCCCATTGAGACAGAATCTTTTAATTTGGTATACTCATTTATTATGGGCTGCTGAGTATATAAAAGATCCCAAATCTGACCTTTCGACTGAAGATTGCCAAAAGGTCATCTGTCATTTTTATCAGATTTCAGACATTGAGGAATGTGATACAGTTGATTCCTCTGTTATTTTTGAGCTAGACTTTTGAAATTTTACATGCTTGTGTTTTGGGGGACTATTGTCAGTAGAATTACAGAACATTGAGATGAAGAGTGGAGGAAGGAACTGATATAACAGATTGTTTTAAACCATCTAGTGAATGTGAAAGTATTCCTTATGACCTCTGAGAGTGCAACTTGTTCTGAAGCTTAGAAAAGAGGCCAAACTTAAGTACAAAAGCCAATCATTCAGCCTTACTACTAATCATGCAGAACATGTAAGAAATGGGTTAAAAATCTTGAAGCTTTCTAATCTTTCTTTCTTTCTTTCTAAGCAAGAACCAAAATAAAACTGGGGTGGGGGCAAGAAGGATCATTACCTTTTAGAAACATGTTGCAAGCCTTTATACTAGACAGTTACCACGTGCAAATTTAAAAATACATAATACATACAATACACGTCATAAATATAGCATCTAACATATATTATGTATATGTTAGCTTCTCTAGGAGAATGCTGTGGGAGATAGTGTCGAAGGCTTTGCTGAAGTCCAGGTAGACCACATCCACAGCCTTTCCCTCATCCACCAGGCGGGTCACCTGGTCATAGAAGGAGATCAGGTTGGTCAAGCAGGACCTGCCTTCCATGAACCCGTGCTATATATATGTATATTTTTGAATCTATACCACTACTTATGTTCAAATGCACCATCTCTTGCTTGATTTCAGATGCCAGTCAGTATTAGGCTTGTTTAGTACTTGGTTGGAAATCAGTCAGAAAATACAGTACCATGTGCTGTAGGCATTTTGCTTTTTTTGTTGTTTCACTTTTGCTACCTTCCTAAGACTTTTCAAGCGTCAGCATCTTTGCCTGTTCTCCAGGAGTTCAGTATTCTGAGGAGAGGAGCATAAGGTCATCTCAGTTACACCAGTTTTCAGCAAAGGACTTTGAGCTTTACTGCTGATCCTTGGAGCAGAGGGTAGAGGAGAAGGGAAATTTCTTAAGTAAGCCAAACATTTTTGGATAAATAACCCAAATGAGATGTAATGCCCTTTTCAACCCAGAAATATGTATTTGTATATGTATTCTTTTCTAAAAAGAACTGAGGAGTTGAGTATGAACTGTTTCCATAAATGTTTTGTAAGTAGCACTGTTCTTCCTCTTCGATTACGACGTAAATGGTGATAGGAAGTGATACGAATGAATGATTTTGGGTACAGCTGATGTACAGAAAGCTTTGTTTAAAAGATAAGAAATATACCCTGTAATGGTGAGTATTCTGCTTACTCAGAGAGAAGTTACTGTTGGAACAATGCTTCAAATTTGTGTCAGCAGTGTAGCAGAGCTCGCTGCTGAGACTTTTATAGGAGGGGAGGGTGATTTTATTGTAAAACAAACCTGGTTTCTCTCTTTCTCTCTCTCTCTCTCTCTCTCTCTCTCTCTCTCATACCCACATACTTGTAAGTGCCATGATGCATCCAAATTGTCTGTCCAGGATTTAGACACCAGTGTGCTTGTATCCTGGTGGCCTAGCCAAGACTCCTGGGGTTGACATGGAAGGCAAGTGACCTTGGGTTTGAAATCCTTACCATGGCTTGAGGGTTCTTGGTTTGGTCACCACATGCTAGTACTGAGTGGACTGCTTTGTGTCCTTTAGGAGATGAAAGTGATTCAGGTTTTTGTTTCTCCATCTTGTACCACCTCTGTAAGTTAGGAGTTACTCACTGTCCTTTATCCCCCTCATCCGAGGCTTGAGTCTTTGCTTAGTCTGAATATTGGCTGACCCTCGTTTTAGGATCTCCTTTGTTTTCCTGGTTTCCTGAGAAGCTGCGTGTAGATGCCTTAAGATCTTGATGACCTGCTTATCTAGGCACCATCAGCCTTACAGTCCTTCTGCTGTTCCTTCTGGTGCTTCCATACCAAGGTGGTGGTATTCGTCTGCCATTTGTACCCATCTTAACATTTCCATTACAGCTCTGTATGTCATGGAAGAAAAATACTTTATTTAACTTTCTGCGGAGGGGGAGAGGACAATGTCCCCCAGAGAAACATATGGATATATTCTACTGAGATTTTGCTGAAGCACTGACCTGGATAGGGGCACAGTAAACTCAAAGATCCTTCATGAAGACAGAGGAGTATGACTCAGCAGACCTAGTCTAACTACGAATCTCATCTTTCAAAAGCTCAGAGATATTTTGAGTGATGAGAAGTGATGAGAATTACATTTTTTGCATGTTGTATGTCAGGTGCCAGGTGATACCGTGGGATACCTATTTTTAATGAGCCCATGTAGGTGTGCAGATAAGCAGGCATTCTTACCTCTTGTGGAGGCAAGTTCTACTCATAGCTAAACTCCGCCTAGTAAATATACCAACACAAGATATGATTCATACCAAATTGTGCAAACATGCAGTTTATATATACTTGTTTACTCAGCCTTTGCTTGAATTCTCAGGACTATCCTTCCCCTCCTTGGGCTTACATACACAGTTTTACTCTCAATGCTGCTGCATTCCATTAAATTCTCTTGCACTTCGCTCACTGGAAGGTGGCATGTGTTTCTAACTCTGCTCACTCATTGAATGAGATGATACAGTCCAGTGACTCTGGAATTCAAAATATAATTGTTTCTGTATGGTTTTTACATGTGTTTAGCAGGTATATAATTAACAATATGGGCATGTTAGTTATCATGTTAGTCATCTGAATGATTTCCTTATGTAGTTCAAGCATAATTCATGTTTCCCAAAGACATTGTGTTAAACTTTTTGAAAACTTAGTGCAGATGACACAGCGTCAGTCACACTTTATTCACATTTTGAAGTTGCCCTTTAGAGGCTTTGCTTTTAATTGGAAACCTAGGGTCTGGAGAAGAGCATGGTAGTTTGGGGAAGACCAGACACATAGAGGACATTTCTTTTCCCCTGCTTGAATTCTAGTGATTTGGAATCCACTGACTTAAGAATTTTCCCCAGAAACCACAAAAAACCTATGTACAGTTAAGTGGAGACCCTCTCTGAGGAAAAGGATATTAGGAGATAGCATCTGTAAAATATTTTGATTTTTCATTTGTCATCTTCTCTGTTTAAACAGCTTTACACCATATTCCCGTGGTAATCTAACTTTCAGTGTTCTTACCCCGGAACCAAATCACCGGCCTGGTTACAATGATTTTTACAATACTCCATCTCTCCAAGAATTTGTAAAAGCTACACAAGTGAGGATTCATCTCCGTGGCCAGTATCATACTAATAAGCCTTGGGTAAATTTTAGGCACAGATACTACGGAGTTAATGAAGTTACCATCAGCGGAAGGTAGGTCTTATAGAACTCTTCCCCCACCCATCACTGCCTCCAACTATTGTAGCTGTGCAAGGTATATAATGACCTGCCTAAAATTTAATGAAGTTGTACTGCTTTTACCTTTATGAATGAGAAGGGAATTTGGTCTGAAGCAGTGCATCAAGTTTGAAATGATTGACGTACTGTTTTTTTAAAACATTTGCTCACATGTTATTTTAAAATTAATTATACTTATTACACAAATCTGTCAAAAGTAGTCCTTTCCTTGGAATTACCAATGCCTCTAAGCAAAGGCTTATGATTGAAACCATGGCTTGTGCTTTACTTCAGTAACTTTTCCAAGTTTCATTATAGATTCCCAGACATGGCAATTTCAACAGTCTTAATGCAGAGCTCATTCTTTGTTTTAGCTGTAGTTTTCCTTTTAAAACTGGGCAGCTGTCAGTAAAAGTGGTACATTATCTGTGACTGACAACTTTATTGTATATGATAAGTGTGCTGTCTTATGAAAGGATTAATTATGCCCTGTAAATAATATGCAAATTTGGCAATGAAATAGTTTCTAAGAAGCATATGGTGCAGATTTTTGTTAATAAGTATTACTTCTGAAATTATTTTGGTAGTTCTCATTTTGAGAGAAAGCACCCCATTAGAGGTCACGTTTGCCTTAAAATTTTCTACACTACTAATATGTTTTGATTATTGGTTTAGATGTGTTATGATAATGCTTTTACTAAAACAGCTACAACCTTGGTGACTATGTAACAGTAAAATAATTTCAGCTGTAGTTTGCAAAGCTATGCCATGCCTTCAGAAGAGCAGCCTTTCAGGTAGAGTGGGATGGTCTATTAACTAATACTCTATAAAGATTTTATTTTAGTAAGAAATGGTCATTTTAACTCAGATCAAAAGGGGTTAAACTAGAAAATTATGCTTGATACAGTTAAGATTTCTTGAAAAACTATAGCCACACTATAAGGCTTAGTATTGATGAACAATTGCCATTTCTTTAATAAAGTTTTACATATTAATATTATATACTGAAATATCGTTTTCATTATATATTATATAAACTAACAGTAGCTCTACTACATTCTGGTTTTTATTTTCTTGGAAAGCAATTGTTGATACTTAAAAATATGTGGAGTGAAGTAGTCTTTTGTAGGTTCCTGCACTTAAGAACATTTCTCTTTGGTGGTGCTTATTTGTTCCTTATAAAGAACCAGACTATGTAATACACAAAATTGTCTTCATGACCATGTTATATATTGTTGGACAGATGTGCTTCTATGTTTTAATTTTTTCTTCATTACCTATTGTTCTTTCAGGTGTAATTGTCATGGCCATGCTGATAATTGCGATGCAGCTATGGAACCGTATAGGTGCCTGTGCGTCAAGGAAAGCTATACAGAAGGAAATAATGTTAGTATGTCCTTTGTCTAACTACGTCACCTATGAACAGCCTCAAAGTTGGGGAAAGAATGTGTGTGTTACTGTTGTCTTAGCTTTTATAGGGAAACTTACCATAGCAGGATTTGTATTAAATAAGGACACAATAAACTTCTCCCTCCCTCCCCTCTCCTTCCCCTGCCAAATGCCATTCTACCACAGACCATTAGGAGTGCTGTGTTCAGGGATTTGAATTCTTGTCAGAGGATTATGCCACTTTCAAACATTAGATGCAAACCTGAATTTAGACTGTCAGCATTTGATAAAGATTATGGCTCTACCTCCTGTAGCAACTAGCAAATGATCTGTAGAGTGAAACGGTAATGAAGACCCAATGTTCACAGCAGGTGTGCTTCAGGGATATTTTTTTTTTTTTGTTACTCTGCAGTAGTTTTAGTCTGGTCCTATGGACTCCAGACCCATTCAGTAGATGGAGCACAGTAGATACAATCCTGGAGTTCAGCTTCCAATTTAGTTTCATTTGAAAGGGAACAGTTCAAATGGTCCAAGACAGCTCTATGATGCAAACCAAGCACAGTAAATGCAGAAAATTTGGAGATTTGCTTCAAAACCGCATGCCTAATCCAAGGTAAAGCACTAGATTTACCTTTTGATACTTGGAACATATGTAGGTATTGGGACATCTAGATTGCAGTCTCTGACTTCAGCTAAGAAAGAGATCTTTTAATGCAGTTGTTTTACAAAATATGTCTAACATAGGAAGACTTAAAACCTTTTGGACTTGATTTTAAATGTCTCTGGCATAGTTGAGCACAGGTAAGAAAATACTGAGACATGTACATATTTATTTGGAAGTTATTTTCTTGGGGGTCTTATTCATTATTTTGATCTAACCAGTGATTTGGGTAGTGGCTTTTTAAAACATTGAAAATTGAGCTTTGAAGTTATTCATTTAAGGACAGCCTGGAAATGTCAATTTCCCATACCTTTCAGAGTCATGTATGACATTTGGTTATCTTTAAAATAATCTGTAGTAGCAACGTGATTGTTCTAATAAAAGAACAAACTTAATATTACTTTTTACTGCTCTGTGTTTTCAGATAGTCGATATTAAGGTTAAGTTTCTTGGAATTAATTAAAAGGCCATATTAAAAAATCTAGATACAATCTAGAAAATACATTCTTATCATTGCTTTGCTCTGCTCTTAATAATAGCATTTCTCAATAAAGAGGGATTTTGTGAAGTGTAGTGTATAGTTACCAAGTTGCAAAATTACAATTTTCCTACTAGTTTTATAATTCTTAGCCATGGGAGAACCAAAATGGGGATGTTTGGTATAAGATTGATGGGCTGAGGCCAATTATATGATGTTCAACAAGGCCAAGTGCCGGG